TGTGTGTGTGTGTGTGTGTGTGTGTGTGTGTGTGTGTGTGTGTGTGTGTGTGTGTGTGTGTGTGTGTCCCGCTGCTTACTCATTACATCTGCCTGGTTGTGACAAAAATAATCACGTGTGTCTCGCGCACACACTCACACAGTCCGTGTCATCCTCTCTCTGCTGATGTTACTGTTATTACTGAGTGCTGATGTCGACAACCCCTGTTTGGGAGCCAGCAGCATTCGCACACACACACACACACACACTTACTTGCTGACCCGAGTAGTTTTTCATTGCTCAGTCAATGAATCAGCACGCGCAGACACACACGCACAGTGGAGAACACAGTGTCTAGACCTTAAACTTGCCATCTCTTCGTTCTCACAGACATAACTGTTTGGTGAGGAAGCGAGCGAGTTTGCTGGCTGAACTGGATCTCAGACCTAGATCTCGGCCCACAGACTAACGCCTGTTTCACAACAAAGAGTGGACAGTTAGTCGTGTATAATTTTAAAAAGCAAGCTAAACGTAACTCGTGCTAGGATTAGGAGATGAAGCAAAGTAACTTACCTGATTAAAGTGTGCTCTGAAAAGTTCAGGTGAGACATGTCTGCCTTTAAGACCCTCCACACAGAACTTGTATAAAAAGATGAATGCAGTCAAACCACTGTTGATGATGTCGCACTCAAATTAGTGATTTGGCTGCTGCAATGCTACCAAGCTTGGTTAGTGGTTCGTATCAGTAAACTATAGAGTTCAAATGCACAGACACTCAATCATTCAAAGCACAGGAGCTCAGACTGTTTGGCAGGAGCCATATTATTGGTCACATGATGTCATTAAAAATGCTCCAAAAGGCCACTCAGCTGAGGTGAAGCCTAGCAAACAGCTCCAGCTGCCTGTGAGGTGGAAGTGAGCCTCAAGTGGACAACAGAGGAACTGCAGCTTTATCATTTCTGTGTTGGTTTCCACTTGTTTTATTTGTCTAATCTTCATATTTTATGGAGACCTAAAGCATTATTACGCTGCACTTTATTGTGGCGGGATTACTCGCTACCTGACTGGCGAGTTTTGTTCACAGCCAATGTCAGGACAGCTGTTTGTAAAGTAACCTAAATTTTAAACTGTATTATTGATATTTATTCTCATTGGCCTATTTTCAGTATTCAATACAACCCTCCACTCCCCACCCCAAAACCTAAATAAATTGTACAATGATTAATTTAATAACAAAATGCTAATGAAGCAAATGAGATACAAATGAAAACTAATATATGCAAATTAATATTGTCCTAATTTTCAGAGCAAATCTATGCATATATGTATCTCTTAAAATAATAGAAAGGAAGGAAAACTGTGATCTGTTGATTTCTTTTTAATAGACTGATTTATGGGAGAAATGTACTTGTACAATGTAATGTAATATGTTTACTGGTTTAATTTAGGTTTTTTTTTTTCATGCTTGAACTTTGCCATGATTTCTGAAAGTTGTATGAAGCATTGCTGTGGTTGGTGCACTCCATGTGGTGTTCCTGTTCATTTTGTCTTGCATTTAAAAACTTTAGAAATAAAACAGGGGAAAAAAATCAGTCCATGTGTTTTTATAATAAAAATAAATCTGAGGGATGTTCGCTGAGCCTCAGCGTTCAGAGAGTTTACCAAATATTTCTTGCATAATAAAATAAAGCGTTCTGAGAAGTGATGTGATTTTTAGCTGGAGCCCAAAGGCAGCTGCTGACATTTGACAGCTGAACTGTGTCTAACTTGATTAATGTCACTCCGCCTGATGTCAGCACACCGTTACACTCTGTGCACCGATCAGTAACACACACTCTTTAACAACAGAGCGCTGATAAATGTGACTGCTGAACCCACAGAACATGCAAACTCAGGCAGGATTCAAACCAGCAACCGCCTCTTTGTCCTCCACATCCTGACCCTCCTCCTCCTTTCTCTTTTCCTTTATTCTTAGTTTTATCTTCCTCATCATTCTTCTTTTATTCTTCCCCTCCTTCTCCGTTACCCCATTTCTCGTCTTCTTCTTCACTTCTCTTCCTTTTTCTTTCATTTCTCCACTTTAGCCTCCTTCTAATTCTTCTCTTCCTCACCTTCTCCTCTTCTTGTTCTCCTTCTGTTAAATTTGTTTAAATTTACCTTCTTTTCAGACTGATTCATTTCCTCTTAATCTTTGATTCTATGTATTTCTTCACCCTTTGGTTCTGAAAGAGCCTCCTTCATCATTACATCAAACACACACACACTTTACCTGTGTGTGTGTGTGTGTGTGTGTGTGTGTGTGTGTGTGTGTGTGTGCGCGCGTCTGCGTGCGAGCGAGCGAGAGCAAGAGAGAGGCTCTCCTGATGCCAGTAATAATAACAGCATGATTGTTGAGTAGCTAATCAACGCACTACAGAGTTAATGAGCCCATAAAAGAGGATCGAGGTGTGTGTGTGTGTGTGTGTGTGTGTGTGTGTGTGTGTGTGTGTGTGTGTGTGTGTGTGTGTGAGAGAGTATTTTAGAGAGAGGTAACCCCAGAGCCTCTGATTTTCTGTAGCACCCAAACACAGAAATAAAACTGAAGTGAAAACTCACTTTTTAGGAGACGTACATGCACACATTTTTCATACAAACTGGTTGTGAAACACACACAGGCTGAAAAACACACATGCACACACACACGTGTGTCACGTAGCTTGTGTCACATCGAGGATCCCCTCAGTCTGGAACAACAAGCAGGGAGAGGAGCTGCTGCAAAACACGAACACACACACAGAGTGGAAGAAACCCACACTTTAAATGTAGCAACCACACAGACACACGTGTGATGTACAGCAGAGCGAGGCAGACCCTGGATGAGCTGAGGTCTGCACTGAGAGGCAGACAGAGAGGCTTAAGAGATCAAACCAGAGGAGCAGCCAGCTGAGAAAAAGTCTTATTAGACTTTCTAAAATCACCAAATCAACACTGAGAGACTCTGTCTGTCACACAGGTCTGTCACCAAGTCCTCAGATCACTGCTGCCTAAAAACTCACACCACTCAGAGATGTTGCAAAGAGGGGAATTAGCTTTAAAGTCCGACACTGTTACTTGTATCAGGCTCTAAACGTGCTTCCTTCTGCTGTAAAGCCGAGATTTGAACCTGGGAGTGTATGGGGACTGACTCAGTGCTGGAGACAGCCTCGAGTGGACATTAGAGGAACTACAGTTCGTGGTACGTTCTGTGCTAGCTTCATCTTTCAGCTGTTTGAAAGATGCTACACGTCATGCTAACTGACACACATGCTAAAGTTAGCATAGCAGGTCAGTGTGCTGGAACGTCCTTTTATTCTGGAGCAGCTGAAATCCTGCTGGTGTTTAAAGAACTTGTGTACTTCAGCAGCAGTTATACGAGGTGACGTGTGTGTGTGTGTGCGTGTGTGTGTGTGTGTGTGTGTGTGTGTGTGTGCAGCACGTAAGATCGACAGCGCACATTGTGCTTTGAG